TTGTATTATTTTTCATTGTCCCCAGTTAGTATGGTCGGCAGCTTTGTTGACTCTTCCAGAAACGGCTATGTTGACAGGGAATTGTTTATTTATATATTTATTAAATTTATAATCTGCCCTTCTCACTATCAAGTGACTCTAGGCAGCTTAAAGGTAAAGGTAAAAGTAAAGGTTTCCCTTGCACATATGTGTTAGTTGTTCCTGACTCTAATGGGTGGTGCTCATCTCCGTTTCAAAGCTGAAGAGCCAGCGCTGTCCGAAGACGTCTCCATGGTCATGTGGCCGGCATGACTAAATGGCGAAGGTGCACGGAACACTGTTCCCTTCCCACCAAAGGTGGTTCCTATTTTTCTACTTGCATTTTTACGTGCTTTTGAACTGCTAGGTTGGCAGAAACTGGGGCAAGTAATGGGAGCTCACTCGGTTACATGGTGCTAGGGATTCGAACCCCCAAACTGCCGATTTTCTGATTGACAAGCTCAGAATCTTAACCACTGGATCATCACATCCCTGGGCAGCTTACTATGCCATAAAATATATAGTTAGGGCACAACTGATGGACAACAGGTAATCCTTGACTTATGATCATTCACTTAGCAACCATTCAAAGTTACAACACTCCTGAAAAATATCTAACATTTGCACATATTAACACTCACAACACCCCTATGTTCATGTGATTGCAACTCAGGTGCTTGGCAACTGGCTCATATTTAAAACTGATAATAGAGTCTTGATGTCACATAATCATGATTCTTTGTTCTGTTTCTGGCAAAGAAGCCCAACCAATCCACCAGTTTGGGAGAATGGATTCACACTTATGACTGTGATGTTCACTTAACAACTGCAGATTCGCTTAACAATTGTAGTGATTTGCTTACTGATTGTCATAAAATATTTACTGATACTCAGATATCTAGTTCACCCTATCCTTTATTTTTTCAGAGAAATTGACTGTTCTTCTAAATCAGGGTGTCATTCTTTTTTTTTTTTTGGTTCAAAAGTTTTATTTCTTTTAAAACAAACATTTCATCATTCCTCAATCAGTAAGACATCGAAATACAATTTTTTGTGTATCAAAATAGTTCTAATTTAGCCTAATGTATACCCCTCCCTCCATCCTCCCCCCAACCCCCCTCCTCCTCCCCCCCCCCGCTTCCCAGAACCCCGACACGGGATGGGTTTTTAAACAACACAGGCTAAAATCTC